AAACACTTCACAAAGATGTGTAGACCGTTGACAAACATTTTTTTCAGATACAAACTGGAAGAACTACTATCGAACATATTAATATTGAATTACACGGAAATACTTCTTTCTATTCAGTTTATACAGCAAACATTCGTTATAGAAATGAATGAGACGATATCATTCTCAGGAATGCTACACAAGTGTGTTTTCGGCCCAGAACTTCTAGAGGTTTACCTAGGGATGATAGTTTTCCATGTAAGTTGTGAAAATTTCTATCAATATTCTTTCATATATTAAAGTAACGTTTCTATGAAATATATCTGTTTCAATTCCATAACGAATGTTTGGAATACAGACTGAATAAAGAGAAGCGATTTCCTTATGATTCAATGTTGATATGTTTGAAAGTAGTTGTTCACATCTAATCTATCATAACCTCAACTTTCATACCTCTCCCCCCCCACCCCTCGGTCATTATCACCCAAAAAAAAAATTGAATAGGGAAAATAGTAAGTGTGACACATCAATAAAAAGGTAATTTCATAAGGAATTCGGCCATGTCAATTCTCGCTACCCAACTTTTTATTTTGGCACCCTCTTGCGGGAAAAAAATTATGATACTTCATTTGCAAACTATTTTGACATAAATTCGGTGACAATGCATCATGGAATTTTTCTAAGGAAAAAAACAAAATGGCGGCTCCACGATGGCCGACAAGATTTGCAGTTATGGTCTGATTTGACTCAAATTTGATAAGTGGTGGTTTTCAGGGTCGGAAATTATGATTTAATTAAATTGATAGAAAGCTTATATGAAAATTCGCAAAAGAGAAGTTATTCTGTGCGTACCAGAATCAAAATTTTACCGCGCAAGAATACCTATTTTGTACTCGTGGTTAGTTTTTCTTTTTCTTCTCATTGCATTTAAAAGCTTTTTATTCAATTTTATTCAATTCGTTTTAGTCATGCTGAAAATCTGTACCCAAAATCCCCACAATCCAATTTTGAATCGAATCGGAGCAAAATTATAAATCTTATGTGTCATCCTGGAACTGCCATTTTATTGTTTTTTCTCCAACAAAATTCCCATTATGTATTGTCATCGCAATGATGAACACCTACCAAAGTTCAAGTCTCGGTTCAAGTTGATGGGACAACTAAAAGTGGGTCAAAAGTCAGCTGCAAGACTTGCCCTACACATATTTACATACTAACTACCCGGGAGCAAGTCGAATAAAAGCTTTTGAAAAAAAAAAAGGAAAACCTTGCATAAATTCAAATCCAATCATCCCAAACTACATCAATTCACAGTAGATGCTCAAAGTTCACAGTAGATCCTCAAAGTGTTCGCCTTGAACTGCCATAAATGAGTATAAGTTATTCTCAAAACGCAGTCTGATTTTTTTGAGCATTTCTGGAGTTATTTGACGACATTCGTACCTTTGGAATAAAATTTGACTTACTACGCCTATGTATTGGTATAATAAAAACCTTTTGTTTCAGTGCTTATGTGTGTCAGTTTCTTGTCAGTAGTAACTCATCTTCAAAGAGTATTCATATTAAAGAAAGCAGTTGACGTAATGTGGCAAAATCCAGACATCAACATTACAGGCCTTTGTTTCAAAATCTCCGATTAATGACGTGGTTCTCACAAATTATTTATGAGAATATTTTATATGTAAAAAGAAATGTACAAGCACTCAAACGACACTCAGATATTTATTCCTATAGTACAAGGAATTTGCACAACATTGTACCTCCAGTGAATAGATTAGAGATAAGTAAAAGGTGTCTTTATAATACAGGTGATTTCATAATTACATTAAAAGACTCCCTTCTAGACTACTTGTGTGTTTTCTTTGTTTGTCTCAATTTTAATTTGTTGTATACATTCCTCACAGTTCATTTCATAACTCAGTAAGTTTTTCATTGATTACTAAGTAAATCTGTTCATGGATGCAATAAATTATATTCTATTCTATATAGTGTGTATGTACATATATATGAATGTTAATTTGTTTATGAATATGTATGTGTGTTTTATACCAACCAATATAGCACTTTCTATTTTCACCTTCTGGGTATGATTATCAGAGTAACTTTGAGCATATTAATAATACTCAAATTCCTATAAAGGAACATAAACTATCAGTAATCGAACAATATCAAATTTCAACGTATGTTCACCTTTTGAACTTTGACAAATTTAGTGGTAAAATATTTTCTAAATAGTTATATTATACGGAAGTTTATCAACATTAGTTGATCTTTCACCTTACCAAGGCACAGCGTGAAATCAAAATACCTATCTTTCGATACAACTTTACATTCGAAAAATTTCACATTAACATTAAGTGAAGTTGGACTGTTTACCTGGTAATTTTTGTCTCATAGCGTATTCTGCAATCATCATTTCTGGCGATACATATGCTCCTATACTTATGATAGGTTCATTAATAACATCAGAAGGCGTACTTATTGTACCCAAAGCTGGACCATTGTTACCGGCTGAAGAAACCCATACAATTCCATATTTATTAACAATTTCATTCACTAAATCACCGACTCTCCTATAAACTCCAAGTTAAATTACGTTATATATTTGATACTGATACATACCCTGCATCAACCCAATGAGCGTGTTCTCCATAGCTCATATTTATAACGTGTACATTTACAGTTTTTTTCAATTCAGTTATTTTGATCATTGCCCTTGTGAGAGCCGTGCCAGTTTCCATGGATCTTAATCGACCGTCACCTATCGTTAACGAAACTATCTGAGCACCTGGAGCCACTCCATTTTGCTCAGGACAATCTGGAAAGTATGCGGATGCTATGGAAGCAACATGGGTACCATGGCTGGCTGGAATTTATTTAACACATCTTCAGTTATAAATTTAGAAAAACCTTTTTGGCATTCTACTACCACATCTTTAAATCAAAACTTTCAGAAAGAAGTAATTACCTCCAAGATAAACACTTCACAAAGATGTGTAGACCGTTGACAAACATTTTTTTCAGATACAAACTGGAAGAACTACTATCGAACATATTAATATTGAATTACNAACTAATATAAAAATGTTTCATTCTATTCAGAATAAGGTAGTAATAATTGAATATTGTTAAAAAATAATGAATGTGCCAAAACAGCCAGTGGAATTTTCAATGAGCAACACCCAAACAAAAACGTAAATCGTGAATACGTTCTGGAACTAATTTCAAAATTTCGAAATATGGGATCTTTGGCGAATAAAACACGCCAAACTGAAAACCCAGTAGAAAACGAAGTTTCGGAGGTCGCTGTTTTAGGACAGGTTGCTGCGGATCCAACTCTTGGTACTCGAAAACTTGCCGAATTATCTGAAGTCGACGTACCGTCACAAACTACTTACTTTAAAGTGGTTTGTGCATACCGTCGGGCGAATTTTGAAAACTCACAGATTCCATCCTTATAAAATTAGACTGGTTAAGGAACTTAACGAAGACAACTTTGATCGTCGCATACAATTTTATGAAATCATGAGAGAACGTGATATACAAGATCCAAATTTCGTTTTCAACATTTGTTTTTATCTCAATGGGATTGTCAATCGACATAATGGTCAGTACTGGTCACATTGCAATCCAAGAGTGTTTCATCAAGTACATACGCAATACTCACAAAAGTTAAACGTTTGGGTTGAATATTTGGCAGCATTAATGAATTAAGAACTAGACTCAGTACTACAATATGGTTTCCAACGTTATATGATTGATGATGGATTCTCTTTTACTTTAGAGTCCCTCTCTTGGTGTTTCGATGTCTCATATCCCAAAATAAAAACTGTTGTAAACAAGGGTATTAATAATAACTGGGTTTCTGACGACATTGCACAGGAAGGAAAATATCTAAGAGATATGTTTCATCTAATTACAACTGATCAAGAAGTTGACCCTAGTAATATGGCTGTATACAAATCTAGACTGAAACAACACAATAATAACGTTAAGCAAAAAAAGGCTACTTAGGTACTTTTCCACTAAAATTGACAATGCCAGTAACAAAACTAAAGAAACGTGAAATATAGTAAACAACGAGTTGGGAAGAAAAAGAAAGTGTTATGCTGATAATGTTATCACTATCCATCATGAATCAGTTGTGGTTAAACACCCTTCTGCTGTAGCAGACCTATTTGCCCATCATTTTGCAAATTTTGGTAAAACGGCTATTTGCACACACTTAGGTAAAAATCTAACATTACCTTGTACAACCAGTACGAATGTTAATATTGTACAATCATTTGAGAATGGACCGATTACTGAAGCTGAACTTCATGCTGCATTGAAATTAATGACAAATAAAAATTCGAGTGAATCAGATGACATGTCAATACCAGTTGTTAAAGAAATATTTGACCTTATTGTATCTCCTCTCATTTATCTAATGAATCAATCCTACATGCTAGGGCTACTTTCCAGAAGAGTTCAAGAAAGCCTTAGTCATTCCTCTTTTTAAAAAAGGAAATAGAAATGACCTGAATAACTACCGACAAACTTCATCACTTTTTTCTCTTTCGAAATTGTATGAAAAAGTGGTGGTTACTAGAATAGTGAATTATTTAGAGTCAAATAATATACTATATAATAATCAACATGGATTTAGGAAAAATCGTTCCATAGAAACCGCTGCCTATGATTATCTCAATAACATATACTCCGAAGTTGATGCCAATAGTTTCGTAATTAGTTTTTTTTTATCTGTCACTGGCATTTGACACTGTTACATCAGATATTCTATATATAAAGTTGGAGAGGCTTGGGTTTCCACATAACATACTGACTTGGATAAAATCTTATATGAGTGGTCGGCATTTGACAGTCAAATATAACAATATTGTGTCCAAGGAATATGATGTGACATTAGGAGTTCCTCAGGGATCAGTACTGGGACCTTTACTTTTTGTGGTATTTGTTAATGATCTCTCAGAACATGTTAACAATTGCCACATAACTATGTTTGCAGATGATACCACAATGACAATCACTGGATTGTGTCAGGAAACTCTATACCCATCACGCGACTGCGGTAGACTAAGGTGTCGAAGACACCATCCTGGCAAGCCATGATGAACCCCTCAGTTTTCGACTTCAGCCCACTCGACCTGAAAAAAGCGAACGTCAGGCCAAGGATAACCCAAGGTCCACAATGTTATTGAAGAAGACCCCATGCATTGGCTTTTTCTTGTGTCTCCGCAAAAGTGAGGTGATTTCTGCGGCTTTTACCTGAGCTTTTTGCTGAACGGATTCCAACTCGGTGACAGAGTTGTGGTCACCTCGTTCAGAGTCGAAAACTATACAGAAGTTCATCAGCTGCTCGGGCAGCTGCCCTAAGGAGGAATGCTCCAATTCCTGCTCTCTCATGGTCACGGACCATGCAGAGAAGGGGATCCGAACTCCTGACGACTTTACAGGCTGTATCCAGTACCATTCTGTCATGTAGACACTCCAAACTCAAAAGTCCACGACCTCCCTGTTGTCGGGGGAAGTACAACCGTGGAACGGACGATTTGGGATGCAAACTTTTATAGAGATGCATCATTTTTCGGGTCTTTACGTCGAGTTGATACAGCTCCTCCCGAGTCCACTTCACTACTCCAAACGAGTAGAGTAAGATTGGAACGGCAAGCATATTTGTTGCAGCAACTTTGGTCTTCCCCGACAGTTCCGATGACCAGATCTGTCGAAGTTTGTGCTGATACTTGCCGCGGAGAGAGTTTTTCACTGCTGTTACCTCTTGAGAGTGGCGTTGTTCCACCCACGTCTCTCCTGCATCCAGATGATGTAGGATGCTTCCATCTACGAGCTGCACATCCTCTCCGTAGTCCCCGCATCGTCCTCTTTTGAGATGGACCATTGCACATTTGTCTATCCCGAATTTCATACCGATAGCATGCGTGTACTCTTCCACCACCCTCAAGGACTGATGGAGATCCTTCTATCCAGGGGAATAAAGTTCAAGATCATCCATATAAAACAGATGGGTGACCTTGTGCCTCCGGTTTCCGGGTTTTCCTCGAGTATTTCTGAGCGCAACGGATAAGGGCAATAGTGAGATGCTTGCTTGACCAGATGTTATAGTGAAGCGAGTTCACCAAAGTGGTATCAGTTGTTCAATGCATCTCACTATGTTGTCGGGTACCGCAAGGCATCTGAGCAAATGCAAGATGAGCTCATGCGAAATTGTATCAAATGTCTAACGGTAATCGATCCAGGACATAGAGAGGTTACGCTTATATTGTATCGAGTCCTGCGTTGCACATCTATCGATGAGCAGGTTCTCTTTACATCCAGCGACTCCTCTCTTCGACCCTCTCTGCTCATATATCCGTTCGAACACTCGGTCAACTGCGGTGAGTATTCGTGTGTATAAGTTGCTTGTAAACAACTTATAACACAAATCCAAGCATGTTATCGGTAAGTAATTCTTAGAAATCGACAAATCTCCGCTTTTGGGGATAAGAACGGTTCGCCCCTCGACAAACCAATCCGGAATCGGCTGCTCTCCGTCCAGCCATGAGTTGAAAACTTTTGCCAGATGGCGGTGAGTACTTGGTAGTTTTTTCCACCAAAAAGTGTTCAGACCATCTGGGCCGGGGTTATCGGGTTGCGCAATTCATTGAGCTCAGGCTGTCGAAGCTCTATGTTGAAAGCTTCGAACTGCGCTAGGGCTGGAGTGTCTAAATTGAATGGCTGCGGTGTTCATAGATATCCTTCCAGAAGGATTCCACCTGATCAGCGGTCGGCGGATTATCCACAACACGTGGAGGCTCTTGGAATAAGCGAGAAGGTTTCTCGCGGAACCTAAGGTTTTCCGCGATACTTCTCGCTCGCCTCACTAGTGATCTTAGCCTCCATCTTGTGTACACGCCGTTCAATTTTCCGAACCCCAAGGCCGGGATTTCGTACTTTCGATTCGGAAAGCGATTATTATTATTACTTCGAGCATCTACTGTGAATTATTGTAGTTTGGATTGATCTTAGTTGAATTTATGCACAATTTTCCAATTTTCAAGTTCATGCAATGTTATTTTTTTTCAATTTTTGTTCTTTTCTTGTGAATTGTTCGCATCACCTTTCAAATACAATATCATAAGTTGGAATACGAATCAGTTGTCTTTCCCGCAATAGGGAGCCAAAATGAAAAGTTAGGTAACGAACACTCACATGTCTCAATTCCGTACGGAATTACGTTTTCAATGCCTAGGTTTGTTCTGGTTCTAACATCTGAAACTGCGCAAGACATGATGCGTACAAACAAAAAATCTCAAAGAGTCCGAAATGGTCACGGACACTTGGTTAAACCAGAACGCATTTTGAGGAGACCACTGTGCCATCTATCGTATATATGAAGAGATGAAGACGAGAAAATACTGTTAATCATGTCCATTTTATTATGTAGCGTATCCTTGTAGTCACTTCAAATGTTATCTAACCTCAATCATCAATTATTTAAATCAAATAAATAAAAAAACATCCTAGAAAATATCCCAAACAAATTTCCACATGAATGCACATGAGCAACGGGAACAGTTCTCAACAGTTCAGCCTCTAGAGTCTAGAGTAAGAACGATTCGGGACGGTTCAAGACAGTTTAGGATTATTTCGCAATCGAAACCAGAACAGAGGATTCATTAATCCGAACTTATCCTCAATAAACCAGAACGCTTTATATCAACTGCGCACGATCCTGACGTCCTAGAACCTAAATTTCATAGAACCAGAACAAACCTGCTGTGTCATACTCAGTACTTTCCCTATTCAATTTGACCAAGGGGTGGGAAGAAAGTTATAACAGTTGAGATTACGACAGGAAGATGTCCA